TGATTGATCACTGAGTGGTGATCAACGTCATGCGTGTCAAGTCCTTCTTAGTGCTGATCGAATGCTATCGATATTAGATTGGTCCATAGATAGTTCTCAAAGTTAACAATCAATAAGTTATTCGGGCTATCTACCTACAATTTGTACTGATGTTATCGTTCAAACTCCCAATGAAATCTCCACGACCTAACCATTCAGCTAACACAACAAACCTTCATCGAAATAAAAGGACATCTATCATATATGAATGGTCTTGAATGAAATGAATAAATTAATTTTTGTAATTGACTTTCAAACTGATAAAGTTTTGTTTGTTTGTTTGTTTACACTTATGTCATATATGGAACTGATTGAACAAACATATAATTTATTTATTATATATTCATGTGTTAGCTATCTCTTCCCCTCCCCCCCTTACCCCCCTCTCTCTCTCGCTTTTTTATCTCTTAGTTACTATTGTATATTGAATTCACATCAAGAGTAATATATCGTTTTGTTTTAAATGATTGAATTGCGCAATTGTATATACATAGATATATATCTGCATAGAACTGACTGGATTGGAAACTTAAAACCTGAATTGGTAGATTACACTTATCTATCTATCTATATATCTATTGACTTAAGATGAGAGTATCATTCAATGAATATATAATTAAATCTGTAAATCTCAATATTACTGTTATGTAATTGAGTTTGTAGTCTCTTTAGAAAAAAACCAGATCATTATTTTTTTGTTGGTATTTTATGTGATCAATTTTTAAAGTTAATTACATCATTAAAACAAGGGTATATTATCAGAAAGGGGTTTTGTAGAGATTGTAGTAATGTAATAGTTGAATTTATGAGTCAATTGAAACTAGATCATTATGGAAAACCTGGAAGCATTGAATGGTCGTTTCGTCCTAGTATGGGACTCTCAACTAGTGTTTATCTACGATCTCGCTCGCGGGACTCAAACACAGAAACTTTGATCCTATGCGCGAACGCTTGATCTCTAGGCCATTGAGCCGGTATTGAATGGTGTTAATGTCTAACTTCAACAAATTCACGAAATTGCGTCACCGTCCACCATTGTCTTCAGTGAGTTACTATGTCATAACGAACCCGGTCGAACTCCACTGGTCATGGCTTCTCATTAGAACTTCAGGAAATACCTCTTGAAGACAGTTGCTATTGAGCATACGATGATTATTATCAGACAAGGGTTGTGTGGAGATTGTAGTAATTTAATGGTTGAATGTTGCTCATCAACAGAATATTGATTGGACCATTGAAATTATGTAAATAATAGTGAAGTATAAATTCATATAGTATTGTTTGTTTGAATCTTCCCATCGATTTCTTAGGACTGCAACTGGTCAGTCTCTAATTAGCATATGTGCATACTGTGCGTATTGCCTCGATATAGTCTTAATTCACAAACATGGTAAGCAAAGATGGATAGTGGCTAGTAGTGGAATCCAGTTTCACACGCGTTTCGTCCTATTTGGGACTCGTCAGCTGGATGTACCTGTCTCTCAGAGTTGATGTTCACTCTAAGACTCGAACCCAGTACATTTCGCTTCAAACGTCATCGCGTTATCCACTCAGCTACTGAGTTCTGATAGCCACTTGCTTGTGCGATGAGGTGAAGTTTAAATTTATTTAGCATTGTTTGTTTGAATCTTCCCATCGAAGTATATTTAATTTAAGTTTTGAGATGTAAAGTAAAATAATGTACTACTCTAAACTTTAATTATCGTTTGTTGAATTGAGCTTATAATGATTTCGATTAACTGAATTTTGATCAGTGAAAGGGATAATTCAAACCATTACAAATCATATTAAATTGATACGCGTTGTATAAGCCAGTAGCTCTCTGAACTCAGTAACTTAGTGGATAACTCGTTAAGAACTAATATTGAAAGTCTTTTAGTTTAGAGTCTCATTGTCAATAAAGATTCTGGGGTCTTTATGCAATCAGCTGATCGGTCTTAAAAAGAATGAAACGCTCATTCTCAATCATGCTGATAGCTACAATCCATTTATTCTATTGGTTGTTCCTGACTTAATAAAGATGATCATTGAAGATAGTGTTCTTTATGTTTGTTTTACATGTTCAACTATGTTCAGAATTGTCGAGAAGTATGAAGCTAAATAAACTTTATTTTCGTAAAACTTTTATTAATACCATAACAGAAATTATGTTAAGTGATCAGAGAAAATCAGAAAAGAGGCATCGGTAATGACTTGTATTAATTTCCAATCGACAACAAGGTGTATATATGTTAGGATATTCACAGGAATATCCCAAAAATTATCTCGAATGTGAATTGGCATGTTTTCAGTCTCTTCACATATTTTACATGTTATTTCTTATTGGCCATTATTTACAGTTGTCCTAACTATGACTTTCACGTGTCGTTTTCCTATTGGTCAATTTTGAGTTGTCCTAATTATAACCTTTACGTGTCCTTCCTTTCCATTGGTTGCTGTTAATAGTCATATAACTGTATAAATATGCCTTTTCTGTAAACCATTTTTGTTCTGCTGCTGACCCCATAAACAATTCTCATTTGACGGCTGTGTTCTGATTTATTGGAGTTGGGTAACAGTATTGGGGTCGAACTAGGATATCTGAATTTGGTCAACCGGTAGAATTTCGTGTAGTCCTATCGCAATACGCTATATTTCGCGACGTAACAATATACAATTAAACAAGAACTCATAGTCTTTAAAAGGTTTGAAATCTTGTCATCCAGTATAACAACCAGAGGGGTTGCTAGTAATCAACTACCGACCACATGTATGAATAAAATATTTACAATGATTGATTTTATTGGTAAGGTTTAGCAATAACCGGTTGCTGACATTTAGGACAGGATTTCGCATAATGATTGCTAGCATATTTGTGAATCATGAGTGTATTGCCTTGGCGCAGCTATCCAAATGAATGTCTAAGAATAAATGAACTGTGACATTTCAGTCAAAAAAGCTTCAAATTTGATATGAAGTCCATAGCTTTTAGTTGTCCAACTGCTAGTAATCACCGATGACATATAACTTTATTCAACAAAGTATTGATTGTAGTTCGCCCCTAAATGCCCCGGTACGGTCGAGAGTGGGGAGAGTCCGCTCTCCTTCTCCAAATGCTCTCACATGGCCACGCATATATAGATAGCCTCTGTCAGGGAAGTCCTAATCATTGCCATCTCACAGCGAATGTACTGCGATTTAACCGGGTTGGTGGACACGGAATGTTCATGTGGGGGAGTTGGAAAAGCCTGATTCCAAAGCAATGGTGCACATGGACTGGCTGCAGTATCCAGTATGCTGAGGGGACAGATGGCGTGTGAATCAATGGTTGGTGACCGGCTACCATGGGACTGCATCTCCTCATGATGCTCTTGCACTGCCCTGTGGATCACACGTCTAGGCAAAAGGCGGCTCCGGATGTGGCCCCCTAGGGAAACCACCTGTTTCGGTTCGGGCACCTGGACACTATCACAGCCCTCACACAAATCAAATGAGATTTCTGTTGTGCATATATATCTGGTGCTCCCTTGTACCAATATTTATGTGTTTATGTGTTTAAGGAGGTAATTGTGTTGAATTAGGGAACAATGTATGATATAATAGCGTGTTTAGCATACGAAAGAACGATGAGTGTCTAGTGGTGTGCTGCTGATATCATCATTAATAGTATGTATGATGAATGAAGATCGGGCAATGCTGTTGTCAGAGAGGATTCGAACCCATAACCCACGGCCCTGCGCCCGAATGCCAAACCTCTAGACCAATCATCCAGTGCCACTCACTCCCACGTATCTCAAAATACATATTCGAACTTTCATTCAATCATGCATCAATCAACCATTCAGCATTCTGCTTCGCTTATACATTATTCTCACTCACTAATCAAACTCAACTAACATGCATGTCCAACAACTGCACACCGAAACAACAACACCATCAAATTCAACTCAATTCATTATTCATCACCATTTATCTATCTATCTATCTATCTAATCATAGAACAACAATTACCATTCAATTCGATCCAATTCAACTTCTTGATTCTCATATTCCAGTGAGTAGTAGTAGTAGTAGTAGTAGTAGTAGTAGTAGTAGTAGTAGTATTGAGTGATGATTGAATATGTTTAGATAATAATAAAATTATTGGAGGTCATATTGTTACAATTGTATATACAGGCAAGACATCGGCATGATATTGTCAAAATCGAACGATGCTGATCTGAAATGTTGTATCCATGAAACAAAAATTAATGATCGAAACACACTATACTAGATTATAAGAACGACATCTTTGACCTTAGGGAGAGGTAGACATATGTGAAACTACTAAAAAAGTGGCTGTCTAATGGACGGGCGAAGTTGTACAGGTAACAAGTTCAGAAACAATATTGAACAACTTATTCCGATATTTATTTTGATGCACAATGTTTAGTTTGTCAACCAAAACCAAGATCAGAATTTTCAATGCGAATGTCATGAGAGTTTTACTATAAGGGGTGGAGACTTGGAAAACTACGAAAGCCATCATTCAGAAGATACAGGTGTTTATCAACAGTTGTCTACGCAAAATACTTCGGATTCGTTGGCAAGACACCATCAACAACATTCTACTGTGGTAGAGAACAAACTAGATTCCATCAAGTGGAGGAAGAAATCAGGAAGAAGCACTGGAAGTGGATAGGACACACTTTAAGGAAATCACCAAACTGCCTCACAAGACAAGCCCTCACATGGAATCCCCAAGGCCAAAGGAGAAGAGGAAGATCAAAAAACACATCACGCTGAGAAATGTAGACAGACATGAGAAGAATGAACAACAATTGGATAGAACTAGAATGGAAGGCCCAGGATTGAGTGGGTTTGAGAATTCTGATCGGCGGCCTATGCTCCATTTTGGAGTAACAGGCGTAAGTAAGTAAGTAATCTCAAATCACTCCAATCTATTAAACCTAGAATAACTAATATAAAAATGAAATTCTCTATTCTACATACATGAAAATGTATATTTTATAGTGAAGTTTACATGCTTGAAATCAAGTTTTAAGAAAAAAAGAAAAAAAACTATTCAATCACTGAAAATAGGTATGTCATTATTGAATTATAAGTCTCATATGTAAAAACAAAAGTCTCCTTCCTCTTACAAACACGTACACACACACACATCCACCCTCACTCTCTCTCTCTATTTATTCGTCAAATACATATTCATACAACTATTCAAACATGTTCATATCAAATTTAATTTGCCACTTGTGTTAGTAACATTCCACCTTGACTACTATTTGAATTGAATTTAGATGATGATGATGATGGTGTTTTAAATGTGATTGGTATTATTTTCTCACCATGTTCATTTGTATATTTTTCAAATTTTCTTATGGAACTTAATACTGGACGAATATTTTCAGGGGAATATTCAATATTATCCGTATTATTTCTTATTATTTGTGCATTATCATTATTATTTTCATTTGAAGAGTGATCTTTTTGAAAGGTTTCCGATTGATATTGAGAAGGTGAACGTATATTATTGGTATTGGAATTAGGAAAATAAAATTGTATTATACGTTCTTGTTCTTCAACGAATTCATGTTCAGCAAACTGTAAAATGAAACATTTTTTATATTACAAATTATACTACTTATTATTAAAATTAAGTAGCTTAAAATATTAAACAAAAAATAGGTATCAGTGAATAAACTACTAGATATGACAATAGTTCACTTCATTGATTTTTAACTTATCACATCATAGGACTGTTCTTTTCTTACAACCAATCACTTATATTGACCAGTTGTACTATTGTTCCATACTAACCCAATCGTACTTTCATTAAATCAGTTATGTAATTAGGTGTTTTCAATCTTCAATAGTTCGTTACTGTTTTAACTGCTTAAAGTACTTTGTTTTAGCATAAGATAACCATGAAACAAGTTTGTTGTCAAGGTTTCATCACTGCCATACAAATATACTTCTGCGTTAGATATTCCGCTATAGCAAGTAAAATTCGGAAATTTAAGTTAATATGTATTTAAACATTGATTTAAACATTCCATGAATGTATTCTACGTCAGATGGATGAGAATAACGGTTTAATTAGCCATCGATGTGGCTTTTGTACCCATGACTCTTCTTCTTCTTCTAACTTTCCCACTAAAATAGAAGAATGAAGATGGATGGAGACAATACTGTAGGTGTAATAATTGTAGATTCCATCACAGCTTTAATTAAGGTTTTACAGTTAGGACTTGAAGTAAAACAGAAATATTTTCGAATCTTTCGTGAAGTTAGGTGTTACATTAAAGATGTTATCACTTATAGGTGGGAGACGTGGGACAGTAACCGTTGCTTTATCGTTATGTGGAGTTTTGGAAGAGATAATTCTAGCCTGTCTCAATCATTGATTTATGTAACTATTCTGTCAGGAGTGCTAAAGTCATTTTTCTTATTGTTTACAAGCACTAATGAAATATGGATACCCGTATACACTGATGATAATGAGAAAGGATTACTGGAAGGTTTACTTTCTCGAGTTTATTGATTTAATGGATGACTGTTAGAAGTATGTTTTATCAAGTATAATAACATCAGTTAGTATTTGTGACGATTTGCATTACAACACCATTTATGGAATGCCTCTACGATAAGGTTATTCAATAAGAGGATTTAGGAGTCAAAATAAGTAATTACTTCGGAATTACGAATTTTTTGGATAATTCGTAAAAATTTCAAATCCTGGATAAAGTAACATAAGCAACATTTCATCTGATATGTGTGAAACTTCAAATTGAAATATGTGGTTGGAACATCAATTTCTTGTCTCAAATATGAATCGCACACCTTAGGAAGAGTTAAATCTGTAAGAACTGAAATAGTCGAATGCTTTTCATAACCTATAATATTGAGAAGAACTAAAATGTTTCAACTTATCTTCGTTATAAGCAAAGGTGGATAATGGCTAGCAGTGGAATCAAGGACGCGTGGTTCGTCCGATTTCGGACTCGTCAGTGGGATGTACCTGCATCTAAGAGTTGATGTCCACTATGGGACTCGAACCCAGTAACTTTCGCTCCAAACGCCATCTCATTATCCACTCAGCAACTGAGTCCTGATTGCCACTTCCTTGTGAAAATAGGACGAAACGCGCGTCAAACTGGATTTCACTGTTAGCCATTATCCATCTTTGCTTATAATGCATGTGAATTAAGGCAATACACACAGTATGCCCATATGCCAATTAGAGACTGACCAGTTGCAGTCCTAACACATCAATCGGAAGAATCAAACAAACAATATCAATTGAATTCAAACTTCACCCCATTGCACAAGCAAGTGGCTATGAGGACTCAGTAGCTGAGTGGAAAACGCGATGGCGTTCAGAGCGAACAGTAATGGGTTCGAGTCCCAGAGTGAACATCAACTCTGAGAGACAGGTACATCCAGCTGATGAGTTCCAAACAGGACGAAACGTGCATCCTGGATTCTACTGCTAGCCATTATCCATCTTTGCTTACAGTTGATTGTTATTTCGCCAACTAACTGTTGACTGTATGGTCATCAGGATTTAGTGAGATAGTTTGTAATTTGTGTTTAAATACATTCGATTGTCCCCAACTAGTGGTTCTCGTTCATTACAATACTACTTATATCTGACAATATCACAGATAAATAAATATCCAGCTTAGTATAATGTTCATCACTTACCTTTTGATTAGCTTCCAATGTAACAGATAAATAAACTAAACGACTATCAAAATCCATTTGACATTGTTTTAATGCAGCATTTTCACTAGTTATCAACAGCTTTAATTGGTCTATTTGTCCTTTTAATAAATTCTCTGTTACTGATTGTTCTTGTTCTATAATAGTTATCCATAAATCATTTTGACGATTTGTTATCATATTTAAAAATGTTTTAGATAAAGAATCATATGCCTTTTTAAAGAAAAATGAAAAAACGTATGATCATGTAATCATTATGTAATAGGGGATAGAAGAAGATATAATATTGATTCCATTTTCAAGTTTATTACTTAGTTACTTACTTACTTACGCCTGTTACTCCAAAATGGAGCATAGGCCGCCGATCAGAATTCTCAAACCCACTCAATCCTGGGCCTTCCATTCTAGTTCTATCCAATTGTTGTTCATTCTTCTCATGTCTGTCTACATTTCTCAGCGTGATGTGTTTTTTGATCTTCCTCTTCTCCTTTGGCCTTGGGGATTCCATGTGAGGGCTTGTCTTGTGAGGCAGTTTGGTGATTTCCTTAAAGTGTGTCCTATCCACTTCCAGTGCTTCTTCCTGATTTCTTCCTCCACTTGATGGAATCTAGTTTGTTCTCTACCACAGTAGAATGTTGTTGATGGTGTCTTGCCAACGAATCCGAAGTATTTTGCGTAGACAACTGTTGATAAACACCTGTATCTTCTGAATGATGGCTTTCGTAGTTCTCCAGGTTTCCGCCCCATACAGTAGAACTGTCTTGACATTTGTATTGAAAATTCTGATCTTGGTGTTGGTTGACAGTTTTTTTTGAGTTCCAGATGTTCTTCAGTTGTAAATATGCTGCTCTTGCTTTGCCGATCCTTGCCTTCACACCTGCATTTGATCCACCATGTTCATCAACGATGCTGCCCAGTTTCAAGTTTATATCAAAGGATTATTTGTAGTGAGAATTAGAAGTCATTTAACTGTTGATTAATTCTAGTATAAGATTCCATGGTAGTATACATACATGATACAGTTAGAGTATGTATTATCTAGTTTCAAGAATCATGGTAAGTAATAAAGTAGTGATTACTCGGTTGGTATTCAGTTCAAGTTATTTCTTATATCAGTGAATCTGTGATATTGAGTAATTGACATCAACTGAAATTTAACATTTTTCATGGTTGAAATCATAAGTCGATTGAAGCTAGACCACCATGGAAAACCTGGAAGCACTGGTCAACCGTTTCGTTCTATTATGGAACTCCTCAGCAGTGCGCATCCACGATCCCGCCTCGCGAGATTCGAACGCAAGACCTATCAGTCTCGCGCCAGAGCACTTAACTCATGATTTCAACCATGAAAAATACTGTAATCTCCACAAAACCCCTTCTGAAATTTAACAGTTGTAACTGTATAAGAGGTTTAATTAATTCAAAATGTGACTATTCTTAAAACGCGAAACATACCCACATGAAGGGGAATAAACTAAATTAATAATACATTAAATAGGAATAATATATTTGTAAAATCTCAGCGAATGAATTTTTTTTAATTAAATTCAACGTATCGAATAATTTTGATATTTGATTATAATTCCTTGAAAAAGCTTGGACCAGATTGTCAGGCGAAACGTTGGATTTAATTTAAAAAAATTCATTCGCTGAGATTTTACAAATATATATTATTCCTATTTAATATCTTACTTCAACTCGGCGCTCAAATACTGTGAAACTATTCGTTCTAATTTAGACGAGAGTTCTTATAAATTAATAATATTCACAAATATAATCGGTATGAATATACAAAGTTTAAAGTTGATGCTGTTCATAATATGCAAACTTTCGGTACGTTGTTGTTATGCTTGACACTAAATCGATTCCGCGGTAACGAACGAAAGCCAATGACACAATGACACGATAAGCTATTCTAATCTGTTGTCCCAGGCCCCGCTAACTAGATGAAGAAGTCCAAGGCAAGTAGGGGAATATATATGTATTCCGTAAGCAGCCGAGTACAAGCAATCGAATAATGGAAAAAGTCAAGCGCATTTATACAACAACAATTTGTCCTTGAGCATCATTGGTAAATAGCACACACAAAGAAACAATGGACCAATAGCGTTTAAGTTAGTTTACAGGTGGGAAATATGACGTGAAGGTAAAAAGAGCGCTTTTGGCGCGAAAACAGCTAAATTCAAATTTTCAAAATAAAACTACAAGATTAAGCCATTTACCAAGTAAGTTCTGGTGATTTGACATCCCCAACACCTCCCCTTTTTAGTAACGGACATTCTTTGGGTCCACCTGCATTCTAACTGTCTGTCGCCGTTGGCGCAGTGACCATCTTCGGGACCGTAGGTCGACCTTATGTGCTTCTTCATGCGTTGGGACTGCCGGCAGATTAAATGTATCCAATAGTACGTCCAGCGGAATCTTTACTTCGGTCGATGGGCGCTCTGGTGTTAACCGCTTGCGTAGTTGATTTCGATGTCTCGTCCATCTGTCCGTTCCTACCTCAACCTCATACATGACTTCTCCCACCCGTCTAACCACACGTGCTTCGATCCAAGGGTCACGATTTGCTCTGTAGTCCCGAGCGAATACTGGGCATCCAACGTTGTACGTGGGTAGCTTCCGGGACGTGGTTTGTATTAGTGGTGGTGTGGATTTCCGCAGCATCAAGTTGTGAATGGTCCTCAGCTGTCTTCCCATGAGGATCTCTGCGGGGGAATTCTGATCCGGCAGCGTGTCGTTGGGGGTCGTTCTGTAGGCAAATAAAAAATTCTGCAGTGTTTCCACTGGCGTCCCCTCCCCTTTTGACTTAATCAGAGCCTTCTTGAACGTATCCACGAGCCTTTCCGCTTGCCCATTCGATTGTGGGTGGTAAGGTGGGGCGCGAAGATGCCTGATGGTTAGGCGTTTGCAGAACTCTTGGAACTGCGCCGAGGTGAACTGCGAACCGTTGTCGGATACAATCACTTCCGGTAATCCGTTTCGTGCGAACAACTCAGTCAAATGTTTCAGAGTCTGGGTGGTCGTTGGTGGAGTGACGGGAACAATCTCCGGCCATTTTGAGAAGGCGTCGACCACGACAAGATATGTGGTTCCGTTGACTGGACCGGCAAAGTCGATATGTATCCTAGACCAGGGATGCTCAGGCTGTGGCCATGGGACCGGCGGTACCTTCGCATTGGACTTTGCAGCTTGTTGACACTGAGCACATTTGTTTACTAGATCCACGATATGCTGGTCCATGAGGGGCCAGTAAGCATAGCTTCTGGCGATGGATTTCATACGCTTTATGCCTGGATGACCAATGTGGAATTGCTTCAGCACCCTCGGTCGTAGGGATTCTGGCACGACCACTCTATCTCCAAACATCAAGCATTCATTTACGACACATAATGAGTCACGACGATGGTAAAGCTGCTTCATGTCACCGTCAAGTTCAGTTGATGGCCAGCCATTGGTGACGTAGTTCATCGCTTTCTTAATGACGGGGTCGTTTCTGGAAGCAGTTTGTATCTCAGATTCTAAGACTGGCAAAGCACGAACAGCGGTTGTCAGGTAGCATTGCGCGTGGTCTTCTGTCGAAAGAGAAGCGATAACGGCATCTTCATCGGTCGTAGAGTGTTCGTTGATGAGTCGTGACAATGCGTCTGCTTGACCAAATTGTTTGGTGCGTCGATACTGAATGTCAAAATCATACCCCAAGAGGATCAAAGCCCATCGTTGGAGACGGTTTGCAGAGTGGGCCGGGACGCCAGATTTCGAACCAAAAATTGCAAGAAGGGGCTTGTGATCCGTAAGGAGTGTGAACCTCCGACCGTACAAAAATTTGTGGAACCGCCGCACCGCAAACACCAGGGCGAGAGCCTCCTTCTCTATCTGACTATACTTACTTTCTGCCGGGGTCAGTGTTCGGGATGCGTGCATGACAGCCTTCTCTGTTGCGTCTGGAAACTGATGAGAAATGACGGCTCCTAAGCCATACGCTGAGGCATCTGCAGCTACAATGATTAGCATGCATGGATCGTAGTGCGTTAATAACAATTTCGAGCTGATGATGGACTTCAGTTTACAGAATGCTGCGTCACACTCTTTAGTCCAGTTCCACGTACTGTTCTTGCTCAGTAGGCCATTCAGTGGGGCACGAATGTCATGCATTGAAGGGACGAACGCGGCATAGTAAGAGACCGGTCCCATGAAGGAACGCAGTGCGGAGATATTCGTGGGTGTGGGCATCTGTCTTATCGCTTGGACATTTACAGGATCCGGTCTGCGGCCGTCAGCATCAAAAATAAACCCCAAATACTTTACGGACCGTAATAAAAACTGGCATTTCTCAGGTCGTAACCGGAACCCGTTTTCACTAATGCGTTTCAGTACCGATGTCGTTCGTTCATGTAGCTGTTCTAACGTTGCGGCAACAATTAGAATGTCGTCAAGGTAAGCCGCGACTCCCAGGATGCCCGATAAGATAGTATCCATTAATTGTTGGAAAATAGATGGTGCAGTCTTGACACCGAATGGTAAACGGTTGTACTGAAATAACCCACGGTGAGTGTTGATAGTAAGCAGCTCCCTAGATGCTTCGTCTACTTCAACTTGCAAATAAGCATCAGCGAGATCCAGTTTTGCGAAGAATTTTCCCCCATTCAGCATCGTAAACAAATCTGCCGGAACTGGTAAGGGATAGTGGTGTTGTTCGAGGGCTGCATTTAGACCTGTAGAAAAATCAGCACATATTCGTAAGGTGCCGTTTGCTTTCTTGATGACCACTATCGGTGCTGCCCAGGCGGAGTAAGAAACGGGAGTAATTACTCCTTGTTGTTGGAGGCGGTTTAATTCTTCATCTACTGTTGGTAACGTCGCATAAGGCACGGGTCTTTTGGGACGAAAGACAGGCTTAGCTCCAGGTTCCAAACGAAGCGTTGCTTTAAAGGTAGAACACTGTCCCAAATCAGGCAAGAAAATCGATGAAAACTGCGCCATTAGCTTCCTGGTATACGATTCAGTGCCATGAGGTTGTGATATCATGTGGCATATGGTATTTAGTGGGACATCAGCCAATTTCAGTTGATCGAACCAATCTAAACCAAGTAAATTTAGATCAGCTGGAGTTATATGACATACCCCAGTAAATGACGACTCCCGGAAGGTCACTTTACATTCCAATTGTCCTGCTAAGTGTAGGAAATTACCACATGCGGTACGAGGCTTTT